TATAAATATTTAGTTATACTTGTTTATGTGTATATCCAAGGCGATGTATTGCTCTCCATATTATATTGAGATCAAGGTTTCGTTCTAACCAAAGTTCCATTTGAGATTGCAATTCCCAAATATACCAATCTACTTTTCTTTGGGAAGTACTTCAAGATATTTCATATCATCATTTCCAAAAATTCTTGGTCTTCCACGAAAAGTTAAAATATTTTTTACACATCAGTATTTTTTAAAAAGGTAATAAACGTGGTGTACAGTAGTTTTGCTAATTCCTAAATGTCTAGTGATTTGGCGTTCTGATAAACCTGCCAACGATTTTTCAACTATTTGCCAACGGGTATGCGTAGATAGTTCAGTCATGACAAAATAAAAAAAATAAAAAAATAAAGTCCGTATGTTTGTTTATCGTTATTGTTTATTTAACCGAATTAAAATGTATTACATAAACATTCATATAAGGAAATACTGTCGATCATTTATAAATCTGTGCGTATGACTGAGTATGAAAAAATTTATCTCCGGAACAAAAATAAACCGGGTGGTCCAGGAATTATAAGAATAGCTGTAAAATCACATTTTGGCGTATAAAAAAAAATTTAAAAGTTTAACGAATTTTTAATTTTGACATAAATTTGACCAGAATTGAAAATTTGGTTGGGCACTTTGAATTAGACTGGATGAAACTTCGAACCTGTTTAATGCTCATTTTATGACTCCATTGCAAAATTCATTCTAGAACATCTGAGTATGATCTGTTTAAATTTCTATGTTGGTGATAAAAATGATCAACTATTTTCTAGAAAAAATAAAAAAGAGAAAAGAAACCTTAATTCATGTTACTCAGCATATCAATTGGTCGGAATAGAACGCAAAAAGATCAATGAACCAATTTCCATAAACCAGTTCTATTGTAGATTAACAAAAATGTTTAATTAATTGATATTTGGTATTTGAACAACTAAGGCTTGACCAATGCACTTTGAAAAGGTTATGAAAATGTATGAGATCTGATAATAACGCCAATAAATTGTATAACCATGTATAAAGGAATTCCTTTTTATTATAGGTTAAATTAAAAACTCACCCCTTGGTTCAATTATTTCAAGAACAACATGCGATTTGCATTATCATTACCAAATGCAGTTCAACACAACAAGCGCGTAAACAGAACAGATTCTATTATGATCGTATTCTATAAATAACACAATTTTCTCGTTACAATAAATTAGTTATATATGGTTACATTAATTATCAATTAAAATTATCAGGATTTAGATAATCTTACTTCTTTTTTTTTAAACTATTTTCTGGATCAAAGTAAAATAATTCTATCCCGTAAACATAGAAAAATTTTTCAAAACAAATTTTTAAGAGTATTAAGTTTTGAAGCGATAATGACCAAATGAGGATTAATGGATGGCTGTATCATCTAAAAATCGAGATTTTCTGTCACGTGAGTCACTTTAAAAATTTCAATAGCATAGCAATAAAAAATGAAAAATGAATATTTTGTACTTAATAAGTAAATTCCATAATTGAGTTTTGAAATGAATGAAATATATGTAGGAAAGAAAAGAATAAACTTTTTTTTAAAAAAAAAGAATCAAAAACCCTCATTTAAAACTTCTTTAGTATGAAAAATCAGGTTACACTCATTGTTTATATTTATATATATAAAAAACAAGGAATTGGTAAAATTAGATCTTACGTAATATCAAACGAAGACTCGTATTGGTCCCCAATGTTTATATGTGGTTGAATTAACAAGGTGCATCATAACAGTCTGACACATTTGAAAAAGAAGGTTCTCTGATACATTAGCTTCAAACGAACGATCCCATGTGCGTTCAAACTTAGATTGGTAACACATTAAAAGGTAAAATTTGCGTTTAAATAAACCCGTTTGATAACCATTCAACTTTGGTTAGTCTTGTTGCTTATCTTGGCTTAGTCTTCATTTCGCTATATATTCCGAGATTTTCTATTTCCTTCCTTTTTTTTTTTTGAAAAAAAAAAATGGTTTCAGGCATTGTGCAACATTTTTTTTTTTTTTTTTTTTTTTTACTGAATCTGTTGCTTTAAATATGAAATGGTTAATAATAGCGGAATTTTTTTGATCCATTTGCTCCGATTTTTTTTTTTTTTTTTTTAAAAAAAAAAAGGCTTTTGTTCTTCGATATAGCAAGTCATGCCGATCAGTGCCGCAGCAAATTACTTGGACGATAAATTCGACCTTGCAGCTTTTTTTTTTTCTCATCTTTTTCATCTTTTGCAGTTCAAACCTTCTCATTATGGTAATAAATCACGATAATTGATATTCAAAATGGAATATAACATGATGTAATGTGTACAATAAATAAACCGATTTTTTTTATCAAGGGCACGTGTGATGTGAATTTTAAATAAATAAAGGCAATGAATGCAGATTTTTTTTTTAATGGTTTTGTTTTGTTTTATTTTATTTCATTTTATTTTTAATTTTTTTTAAAAAAAGAAATTCTTTCCTACCTTTATTCCTTTTTTCTTTTCCCTTTGTTCATTTGTTGTGGTCCCAATTTCGATGTAATCAAACAATTTAATTACCTTACGTAATAACACTATTGTTGTAGTATAAATAACAATCACAACTTACAAACATTTAATTTATGACATCTTTCTCTTATTAACGATTTTTTTTTTATTCCTTTTTGATTCATTTCACCTTGTCTGTGGTATTAAATCGAATTCATCAAAGAATTTGTAAATATGGACATAGAAAGGAACCCGTATAAAAGAAGTATAAGAGAGGACAATCCCTACCTCATGAAAAGGGAAGAAAATCCTTATGCGAGGAAGGTAGAAAATCCGTACATCAAGAAAGAAGAAAATCCATACATCAGGAAAGAAAACCCGTATTGTCAGAATCAAGTAGAAAACTCTTACCTTAAAAAGCAGGAAGATACATCTTATGGTCCTAGAAATGATTTGAATTCGTACCTTAAGAAATGTAAAGAAAAACGGGTTCCGGTCGTGAAGAATGAAGTCAATCATAAGTATCGCAAAGAAAATCCTTATATCAACGAGCATCTTAAAGATCAATCAAACGCTGGTTTTGATATTGAGGTATCTATGCTTCGTCACAACCTTTAAGTTTTATAATATATCAATTTAATGTGCTTTTATCTTGTCTATTTATCAAAGATCGCTGATCCCATCTTAACTAATCCTGAGAGTCCCTCGGTCCTAAAAATTGATCGTTTTTGTTTGAGAAACGTTCCTGTTCATAAGGAGAACCCTTATGCGAATTGGAAATTTTCAGGTGTTAAGGATATTGATCAAAATCAAGAAGCAAAGTGTATAAAGTCTTCCGCAATAGTTGACGATCAGTATATACGAATCGACGCGTTTACTGTCATTCCGAAGCCGGTAATTTATGATTATTTAATTGAACTTGATTGGAAGCTTAATGAAGAGTTTATTGATGCTGTAAGAATTGAACAGGGAGTTGTTGTTGAACCAATTAATGTCGCGAACCAAGGTTTTAAAGATGAACGGATAAAAGATGTTGTCGAACGCGCCGATCGTGATGAAGTAAAAGATGTAATGATTGTTCTTGATAAATCAATCATTTTCTATGATAAACTAATCCGATCTGATGCAATTATATAGGATGAAAAGGTTGATGACAATATAAAATCACCTGTGGATATTGAAGTTGATGATTCGGTAAGAGAAACAACATTACAATTAAGTTCTTGTAATTACTACACCTTATATAATTCTTCTTGTATTTGTTTTCATTAAAATGTAAAAGAAATCGTTAAAATGGCAAGTATATTTGTAATAATATGTATGAAAGTATATATATATATATATTTATTTATTTTCATTTAATAAAAATTTATTTTGTAGTTTTGATGAATCGAAGGAAGCTATGGAAATTACAACGGAAGCGACGACAATTTTTGAATCACATAAGCCGGACAAATCCGAAAAAGACCTAATTACAACAGAAGAGATGACATTTGTTGAACTACTTAAGCAAGGGAAATCAGAAAAGGACTTGATTACAACGGAAGCGACAACAGTTGATGAACCAATTAAGCAAACTGGGTCAGAAAAAGGCTTGATTGAAACAGATTATGAATCTCTTGAGAAAATTGAATCAGAAAAAAGCTTGATTGAATCGGAAGCGACGAAAGCCGTTGAACTACATAAGCAAAATGAATCAGAAAAAGACACAAAGAAGTCGACGATAGTTATTGAACTACATAAGCAAGATGAATGTGAAAAGGAGATACATGCGGATGCATCACATAGTCCACATGAAGAGAGTGTTTCATACCCACTAATGGCTTCTCAGAGGGAAGTTAAAATGGAAAGGGTAGAAAAGGAAACTACTAAAATAGCGGAGAAGGTCAACACCAACGATAAAGTTAAAACGCTCAAAAGTCAACTTCACCTTTTATTTAATCCTCATTTAATGTCCGAATCAGCGGTGTCAAAAGGAAATTCCGATCAATTCAAAATTGTCAATCAGAAAGTCCTTAAGCCAAATAATAAAATATCAAAATCAAGTGAAAATGATGTAAAAAAGGAACCTGGTAAAGCGAATCTTATTGTGGAAAATCCATTTTGCGGAAATAGGATCATGGATCAAGTAAAAGCTGACCAAGCTTTACAACTCTCACCTACTCAGGATAAGCCTGAGAGGGAACATCCTGCTCAATTACATGTCAAACTAAGTCAGAAGTTTACGATGTCTCAGGCATCAAAACCAAATAGTGTTCCTACATTCATTTTGGCTGGTGATCGATTCGTTCGAGAGGATAAAGCTTTGATAGATCTTGATAAAGATGATTCAGTTGAAACTAGTTCAATCAATAATAGAAAACCATTACAGGTGAAAGTGCCGCCTGAACTTCACGAAATCGATTATACGGGATGGATCATGCAGCAGATTGTAGAAGAATTTCAAAATAACCTCAGAACAAACAATAACCAACCTAGAGTATGGTGTCCCATTTATAATTTATTTCACGACTGTAATTTTTATATAATATTCAAAACTTTTTTATGATAGGTTAAACCGAGCGGATCTTTCCTTGAAGAGTTTGAAGGATGATAATGCTAAGGGATTATTGGCGATTCTGATTTTGTTTTTTTTTTTTTTTTTTTTGTTTTATTCAATATTTTTATTGTTATTTAGCTCAACTTAGCATTATTAACGAGAAAGAATATATAATTTATTGTTATAATTCTTTATTGTCATGTATATCGTAAAGGTCATATATTACATTTAAAAATTATGGTATATTCGTTTACAGGCAAAGTTTTCTTTTTGTTTAAAAACAAATCTTTTTGAATGGAGTATTTCTGTGTTATTTCATGTAAAATAAAATAATCCCCGCAGAAGTTAAGATAACATTAATAAGGCGTTTTGTATATAGACTTTTTGAAGAAAATTTCGCGTCTTCAAAAAAGAAAAAAAAAATTTCGGCAATGGAATATATTAATTTTAGGAATAAATAAGAGATCGTAATATCTATTAAAAGTAGTTTCAAATAAATAAAAAGAATTGGTACGTTATTCTTAACAAATTAGAATGAAACATTAGATCCTTTATCGTGAATTTTCCATATGATTGTAAGTATCACTTCTTCATGGCGCAAGGAATAAAATCCTTTACTAAGTTTTCGCTAAACCTTCCGAATTCAATTCCTCGATCTTAATTAATCTTAAAACAAACCATACCATACCAAAATATTAATAATAATAAAGTTATACTGTATATAATAGTTTGTGTTTATCGTTATATTTTTCGATAACAGTACATAAGCAGCAAAAGTTGTTTATTGAGCTTTTTATCTTATTAATTCAGAATCATAAGCTTCCCTATCCTTTGGAATTACACATGTGACATATTAGAATGCTTGTTCCTAACTAGGAGTCTGAATAAGTTCAAATTTACCGGTCCGTACTTAAATTCGTGTATTAAAATGAAGTCCAGTCTGGACTTATTAATATGATAAGCCGAGTATTTTAATTAATTTATACCAATTGACAAAGTGAAATTGAATAATTCAATCATACTTAATTTATATCAAATTTTGTCATAAAATAATTGAATTGAACCATGTATAACTAAAAGTAAATATCAACAATTCATTAAAGTCATCCAGACATCACCTTTTCCGCTTTATTTTCTTTACACTTTAATTCTTTTTTAAATACTTTAAAACAACTTGCTAAACCGTAAAATTTGACCTTATTTATTATACAAATACAATTAATTATAATTTTACTAGAATTATAAAAAATTCCGGACTTGGTACTTTGAACTTGGAACCGGGTAAAGAACAGTTTTCCTAACGTTATATCGGTCTTTGACCGATATACCGATAATAATTGCTCTTGCATTAATTATAGGTCACTGTGATTATCCCGCATTTGTTTTAATATCTGAGAAGGATTTATATAATTTGATGAATAACGTGTTCGAGAAACTAAGGAGATCCTTGTAAAGTGAAGTATCAAAAGTTTTCATATTTATCAATTTTTTCTGTTTCTCGTTCTAGTTTCGGCCTTCCCCTAATATAAATGGTTCCTTTCCCTTTTTTAAAAAAGTTTAGCAAATTTTCTTTTTCCAAGACAATTCCTTCTCCCGGAAAATCTGGTCCGTGGAAATTTTTGAATAGTTCCTCGGTATTAAGAGTTGGATTTTCCATTAACCGAATGGTGTTATCTATTAATTATGAGGTGGAATATTGGTAAGATTCCTCATGCTAGTTCCTTTAGCTACATGTGGAGTATATACAGTACTTAAATATTGTACCAAGATTCGGGCATATAGCAACTTTAATTATCTTTCCCTAGACAACGATAATTTTAATTGATTGAAGAAATTAAACATGTATCGCCTTCTTTTCGCGAACCGGGTTCGTTAGCAGAGAATATTAAGGCTCGCATTATGACGAAAGCATTACTAAAGGTATTGACCGATTACAATCAAGAAAGCTCTATTTATTTTGTTCGAGACTTTTGATGTAAAAACATTAATACGAGCTTGGTGATTGGGATGTTGAAGGGACCTTTATTTTCTTATTTTTTTTTTTTGCAGTTGAATTAGGCATCTGTTTCGTTGTAGAAGGTTCTTAGATATATTAATGAAATTGAAGGTAAATATGTTTTGTTTTCTGAATTCTCAAGTTTTCGCAATTTTCGATATATGTAAGATCAGATTTAAATCGGGAATGTAAATCGAATAACAGAATACCAAGTTATCTCTCTCGTTATTGGTAAATAAAATAAATACAAACTCAAAGGTGTGATACAACATCATTTCGGGTAACTCAATTACGGGTAACACTCGTTTTGCTTGCCACATTACACCTAATGACGTAATTATGTATTTATCAGCCATCATTATCATTTGTTTTATTATTATAATTATATATATTAATAAGAAATTTACATCATTAACGACGACAAATAACAAAAATTTACACCTGGATTATAAAATATACAATATTTTATATATCTATTTAATTACTACAAGTTAAAAATTCCGAGATTGCTTTGGAGAACCTGCTCTAGCGTACGAAACGATTTGCTTGTTATTGGTAGCCAAAGGTGGAGGTAAAAGTACCTCGCTAACAATCGACCCTCGAGGATTTCCGCTTATACCTTCACCGACGTAATTTTCTTGGTTAGTATCCATTATTATGGTTGTGGAATCAATTTTGATTTGAATATGTTTTACATTCTTGGAACCTTTTTGAGATTTCAAAGGTGCTGACGGGGATGATAATTTTAAATAACCACCATCATTTGGAAGTAATCGTGGATAAAATATCAATACTAAATTTTATTTTATATGGTAAATGGGGAGAGAAAAAAAAAAATATTCTGTTAAATCCATGTCAAAACGTTGTGCGGTTAATAACGTGTAACGATCAATAAAAATACTCACGCCAAACGATCCAACAAGCGACCATCGAAATATTGATTATTCCGGCAAATAAATCGATGGTAAATTTATTATTGTTCAAATATTTCTTCTCCGTAAGAGCATCAACATTAAATATAATCATTGAACTAGCACCTAACCCGATAATTAAAATCAATAAACCATTCATGTATCTATAATATTTTAAACGGTCGGCTATATGATTTCGATTATTTTGTTTAATAAGGGAGGAAAATTTAAGGTGAGCCATTAACCCGTAAACTAATACGAATAAGTTGCAAGACATTGCCGCCAGTTGCGGAATGACCTTTTAAATAAAAAGAAAATCAAATAAAAATAATTAGGAATAAAATATATGAAATCATTCATTCTTGACACGACATGATTACTTGAATCTAATTCGTTTACCTCTTCAATAGCTTGCTTTTGCTGATATGCTTTTAATTCTTGAACGTTGAAAGAATCCATTTTTTGATCGTCGATACTAAATAGGAAATGAATGCAAGGGAATATGATCAAGGCGATAGCGATAAAAGCGTAATTTATCCTAAATTGCCAAGTGGTGATAAATTTCGCTCTAACGATGTCATTGGCCAAATAATTCCAAAAATTTTGTAATAAAAATATCGCGGAATTCTCAACGGCATAAAAAATCATGAGTATGAGATGAGCCATGCGCCTCAATTGTTTATTCTCAGGTGACCATTGCTCTTGCGGTTTATCAATGATCCTCTGTTTGGTCGGATCAAAGATGAAGCCTTCAGAGTATTTTATTTTGGAGGAGATGACGTCGTAGGTTAATATTAGTATTATGGAAATTAGATATAGTATCGTCATTATGGATTTGACTTCTTTTCTTTTGATCACTTTCCATCGCAATGCTTCAAACTTGTCAATACTATAGATATGTATGATTGACCATATTAATATGCAAAAATCTGCAATCGCTCGAGCTGCAACAGGGAAAAGCATCCGAGATTAGAAAAAGGAAAAAAAAAAAATAAAATAAAGTTGAAGTAAAGCAGAATATCATTAACTTACCAAGGAATGAAAAGTCTGAAAAGTTAGTCATGGTTTTTTATTTTTTTATTTTTTCAAATTCGATTATTATGGATTGTTTATATATAGTAATTTTTGATATTTTAACATGAAAGAGCCTTCGGATATTCATTTTGCCTGTTTTAATTATTTGATTTCCACATGATTTCCTGATTTGGCAAAAAAAAGAGAAAAGAAGGAAATGATTTTTTTTTTTTAGAAATTTTTTCGCTTTTATTATATTAAACAAAATCGATAGATAAAGTGAATAAGGAACTTTGTTATACAAAAGGGTTCGGTGATCATCCAAAGGTTAACCGAATTTCGCGTATGTGTATGAAAAAATCGGGGCATGTAGATGATTAACATCATCATCAATTTGTATTACAAACGGTACGGACGAAGAATGTTTCAAAATTATACACGATTCCTTACTTAAATTTATAGGCACTTTGCAGTAGAAAAAGAGGAAGCTTCAAAAAAAAAAAATTTTGAGTAAATGTTAAATTTGAGCTTATTTACTAAAAAAGTATTATAACATATAAATTTACTTTTACTTTTTCGGTTATTTCCTTTATTAATATATATATATATATATATATATATATTTAAAAAAAACAAAATAATATCAGGCGCCTGATGAAAATTTATTAATAATATTTTTTGGACTCTAAAATTTATTATATTAAAATTATTCAATAAAATCTTATTTTTTTTTGAAAATTGTTCGCTTTTATTTAATAATATAAGAACTGCACTAAAAGATATATAACCAACATTATTTTTCAGGGTTGTATATTACATGAAGTGAACCATTTATGTACATATATTATTATGTACATAGGGTAAGAACGATTATTTTAATTATAATAATAATGATAATAATAAAAGAGGACCGGCCAACTACCCGAATTTTAAAAGGAATAGGTGTTATTTAATGATTGATTGAAGATATTATTTAAGTTTATTCAATTCGATAAATAAAATAGCATTTAAAGTAACTCCATCTTAACCGTTAAAGAGAATACATGATATGAAATTATATACTTTGTGAAAATTCGAAAAAAAAACAAAGTTGTAAATTCATCATCTACATCTGAATTTGTTTTGACCTAGAAAAGTACGATGCAAAAAATAAAGACTCGTCAGACTTCGATGAAAAAAAAATTCAATCAAAAAAAAAAAATGTGAATTTCCATACCTTCAGGTGTATGACAGTCAAGGTCATTGCCACCGCCACCATGCAATTCGAAACTATCGTTTTTACTCGCGATTGGCGCAGCAAAAGCAACCGTGAAAATTAAACATAATGTGAAAATTAAACTCAAAGAGATCTTCATATTGAATTGTCTTTTTACGAAAGGTTAATGATTTGAGGTGGAGAAACGATTCTCAAAAATTTGCGGTTGATTGGAAGGAGAAGAAATCGTTTTTATGAAATGAAAAGAGTGTGTATAGTTGTGTAGGGAGATGGTTTGGTTTGTATTAACTCCACACTTGGTAATCCCAACGTAGTTTATATACAAATCCAATGCCAAGAATTATTTTAATGCATCTACTTTTTATTACCAAATGAAATTGATGAAAAAATGTGTTCATAATGGACGAACAAAGTACAAAGTACGTAATTTGACTGATTTTTTTTTTTTAATAAATGTATCAAATCAGGATTTTCCTTTACCTTGACGCCGGAATTTCTTTAATAAGTGATCGTCAAATCTTATTGGTCCAAACATCTCACAGACGCACCAAATATAGCACAAAATATAAAAGGATGTCGTGATTTAAAAATATCTTTCACCAATATTTTGGATTTGTTTATATAACGCGCGCGTGAAATATTAATTAGAATTCCCATGTTTGTAAAAGAGAACTTTTTATTTTTTGTTGGAAGTTTCTGTTTTTAATTAATTTATTATTATCATTTTATTTTTATCCAGAAATTTACGGAAATTCAAATTCCATGACTAAGCAACATTTTCATATCGTCCCATAACTATTTCTCAATCGTCACATCTTTGTACTATTTATTGAAGTGAAACACTTTAGATTGATAAATATTATTAATGTTTTAAAATAGTAATTCCGGCACATTAAAAAAAAAATTGTATCAAATTTGATAAAATTTTATTGCTCTTGATTACATTTGATTACATAAAGTAAGATCTTTACCGGATTCAATATTCAGATGAGAGAAAAAGTTCCGTCAATTTTAATGCTTGCTTATTTTGTTAACAATAGCAATCAAAGCTATTGTTGAATTTAATGTATTCTTGAAAGGGAAATAAAAAAAAAAAAACGAACAAAGACCCAAATATTTAGACGAAATCGTTGAAATCGTTTAGTATAATTTTGAAAAAAAAAATAAAAAAAAAAACTCTGATGAAAAAATAATCTTATTTATTTAAGCAAGGAAATTTTTAAATAATCCCTTAACTTTACTTGGGATTCATTTGTCCAAATTTTTGAAGTTTCACTTCAGAATGGCGTTTATGGCTATTGGAAATACAATGCGTTATATCAATCGATCGAAATCGTTTTGTACGATCTTTTTCGTCAAAATTTTAAGTTACACAAAGTATTTATAAATGTAATTTGATAAAAATTAGATTTTTATTTTAATAAAATACCAATGGCAAGTTAATACTAATATACTACTATATGTATACCTTTTAGAAAACTTAAATAATCAAATCATCATATTTGTATATTTATCATAAAATAGTCTATTGTTATCTTATCTATTTTACAAATTTTTTAACATTAAAATTTTAAAGTTTCTTTTTTTACAAAAGTATTTATTCAAAACATTTTATAAAACATATTATTTTAAAACACCTATCCAATTAGCCTTACATAATCACGTAAATAAAAAATAATTTCTGGATTTATTATAAATATAACTTAATTAATAAATTAAAATAAATTATTTAATCAAATATAGGATTAGATTAAAAAAATTTTATATTAAATATAATTGAGAAAAAAAATAAAGTCTGTATTAGAACTCTAAACAGGTCAGTTTAAGTCAGATCAATCAAGAAACCTGAACTGAAAGGATCATGTTAGATCAAACAAAAATCTGATCTGATTTAAATTTTCATTTGACCTGATCAGACCTGATCTAATTTAACCTAATCTGATTAAATTATTTAAAAAAATGATATATTATATTTGATTCAATTTAAAACTCTAATATATTTTATTATTTTTTTTTTACTTTTTTCTTATAAAAATTGTATATGAAATAATTAAGAAAATTTAATTTAATGATTAATTATAGTTGCATAATTAATATCACTGAAAATTAATTTTTCAATCTTTTTTTTTAATAAAAAAAAAACATTTTATTTTATTTAACATAATTTTAAAAAAAATATATCTTATTTTTTAAACTTAAATATTTAAACTTGTAAAAACTTATAAAATGTTATTATTTTTTAATTTTTATAAATTTTAATTATTATATATATTTAATATCTTTTTTTATAAATATTAATACAGAGATTTTATAATAAAGATTTAATATTTTAGTCAAAGTTAATTGTCTTTTATCTCTAAGTAAAGTTATTCAGCAGAATTGATACTATTTATATTTAATTTTTTTATTAAAATTAGTTTGATATTTATATAGTTAAATTTAGTGCTTTTTCATTAAATAATACATAACTTTTAATATTTATATTTTTTTCAAATTTAGTTTTTATTAATATTGTGATAATTTTTTTAAATTTACAGGATAATTTAATCATTTTAGTCAAAGTCAATTACCTTTTATTTCTATGTAAAGTTGTTTAATAGATTCAATACTATTTACATCTAATTTTTTATTAAGATTTGTTTAATATTCATGTAGAAATAATTTTTATAACTTATTAAATAAGTCACACTTTTTAAACTTCATAAATTAATTTGATCACTTTGATCAAAATAAATCTCTTATTACATATTATGTAAATATATTCTATAGATTCAAAACTATTTATATATAATATTTTGTCAATATTAATTTAATATTTATTGAGTAATAGTTATTTTTTATAACTGTATTAATTTTTAATTTTTTCTTAAAAATATTTATTTTATAATTTATTAATATTGTATCAATATAAATATATATTGTAAAATTAATATACTTTATAAAAAAATTAAATATAAATATTTAAAAATTATTATTATAATTAAATTTTTTGAATTTTATAATAAATTATTCAAAAAAAATAATTAGCTGAACTGAATTTTATTAAGTCAGATCAGATCAAATCAACCTGTTGATCTGATTTGATATTAATCTAAAAATCTATTGACTAGACCTGATTTTTCAGGTTAGGTTAAATCAGGTAAATAAGTTAACCTGATCTAATTCAAAGTTCTAATCTATATTAAATAATAAATCATTAATAATTTATTTAGTAAAATAAAATTTAAAAAATAAAAAAATAACTTTATATTATTTAAAAATTTTAAATAATAATATAAAATAATTTTATTATTAATTATAATATAATTAATTTTAAAAATTTATTATTTAATTATTCATTAGATTTTTAATAAATAAATTTTTGTAAAATTAAATAAAAGTATTAAATTTTTAATTTAATATATAAAGTTAATCCCTATAATTATTTTTAAATTTCTATAAGAAAAATTAATTGTATTACAAGTTGCTATGATGCGAATGGTCTAAAGCCACCACATTTTATTTTATGGCCAAATTCTTTGGCCTATAATACAGTCACGTGAAATGAATTTTATTGGACAATAATCACATGATTTATATTATTTATCATTACCAACTAATATTATTTTATTCCTAATTTTTGTTTAAAATAATTATACATTAATTACATTATCAGGAATTCTTCGATGTGATTTATATTTTTTTACAGTATATAATGCTTCTATGCCTGTTAATCCTTTTCTATATGCATTCATGAATCTCCAAGATCTGCGTGCATAACCTCTAATTATTTCTAAAGAAATTGAATTCAATGCTTCAGGAACTGTTTTTTCTAATCCCTTAAAAGAATAATCACAATTATTGCGAGTATATCATTTAGTAACATCCCAAAACATCTCAATAAAATTGAGCTCACAATGAAATTTTGGATAAAAGATAACTTTATGTTCACAATCTTCAATTATTTCCCTAATTAATGGTCTTTGAGCTAAAAAATCTGGTTGAAGTGAAAGTATTCAAACTGCACAGCAATCATTTGCAATTAGTGAATGTTTTTTGCAATCAGAACAAATACGATTTACACCTCTTTCTGGCTATAATCCATGTTTCTCCAAAACTAAACGAATTCTTTTAGGTCTTCCATCTAAAAAATGCATTGATTGTATTGATCCATTAGGCATTATCCCATTTTTAAATTTTCCTTTACCACCTGAATTAAGATTCATTTTTGATGCAATCAAAGCATCCTCCGCATATGCAGCATAAGACGTTGCATTATCGAATGCAAATACACCAATATTACCAGAATGCAGTTTTTCAAAAATTGGAAATGCTTTTTCAGTAATCTAATTATAAGGTAATTTAAATTTAAATTATTATTATTTTTAAAATAATAAATAAAAAAAATATTTACCTGTTTAACTAAATCTTCAGTTTTTCACCATCCATCACGATTAACACCTAGTTTCATCATAACACATGCTTCATTTTGTTCAAATTTTAATTGACCATCAATTTCTGTTAAAAAATCACTAACATGTAAGCTTAAACCTGCACCTTTTTTACGAAGAAGCTGATATCTAACAGGTCTCTAAAAAGTTTTTTTACCATCATTAGCATAAAATATTGATTCATCATGAGTTATTAAAATATGTTTTTTATCACCTTCATTTAAAATAGGTTCTACTAATATCATAATATCATTATCTGATGGTTTTGGCATCCAATGTTCCAATTGTGCCATCTCAGCTAAAAATTCTTGTCGATATTTAAGTACATCAGATCGCTTATAACCGTCATAATAAATATCTTTATTTCCTATATGAAATGTCCATCCAAAATGTTTTAACCATACTCGTGCAATAGTATTTGAAATTGATTTTTTATTTTCAATTCCAACACTTGGAAAAACTTCTTGCTCAATATATGCTTTAAATTTATCTACAGTTACATCACAACTAATACTCCAAAGATATTTAGTAATCATTTGATAAATATCTTCATCACCTAATAAACTTTTAATTTTTTGATGTTTACTACGCATTGATGTTAGAATTGAACGATACATAATAAAATTTTGTGCCTATGCTCTAATTAAACACGCTTGATATTCTCCTTTTCCAATACTAGTTGCAATAGTTTTACTTGCTTCTATACACT